CATGAAGGGAAGCAGAGCTTCCTGCTCTGCTAGCTCTTGATCCTTTCTTTCTTCCTATCTTGGAAGCCTCATACTCCTAACCAGTCCTGATGTTGGGGAGCGTGAGTCAGATGGGAGTGACCAGGTCACTGGACAAGGATGGTGCCTGGAGAGGAAAGCAGCTCCGTGACTAGATAAGATACTGAAGGCACTGACCTCCTAAGCAGAACCCCTTGGTATGGGGACTGGTGGTCTGGCCTCAGACTGGTGGACCCCCACCCCAGACACACCCTGCAGTAAATGCTAGAGTTTCAGGTTGGCAGGCCTTCTCTGTAAGGTCCACACATGGTCTGTTCTAGGTGAGGGGGCAAAGGGTACCTGTGGCAGCCACTGGGCTCGGCATCATGGTGTGGGGGCCCATGTGTGGGCAGGGTCCCCAGGGAAGCTTTACTTACAGAAACAGGAGCTGTGTGTACGTCCTAGGATGGAAAGCAGGGTCACCAACAGACACTACACACTACACTCAGAGCAGCACCGTTCACAGCAGTCAGGAGGTGGAAGCAGCCCAAGTGCCCATCAGTGGGCTAATAGACAAGCGATGATAGTGAATGCCCACCATAGAGTGTGGGTCAGCCTGAAAGACAGAGGGAGTTCTGACACCTGTGGCAAAACAGGGGTGAACCTGGACATCATGTTAGGGCAGCAAACCCGTTACTGAAGGGCCAGTGGTTCCCCTGAGACAGCCAGAGTTGTCAGGTTCACAGAGACAGAGCAGATGTTCCGTGCCCTGTCTGCCCTCTGTTTGCCTGTTCGCAAATCTTTCATCACGAGGAAGGACGGTTTCTGTTCCCCATGCCCGCACACTGCTCCAGGAGGGCCCAGAGGGTGGGAGTTCACAGGTAATGAGGGCAGGGTTTCAGTTTGGGAAGATGAGAAAGTTCCCAAGATGATGATGGTGATTGATTGCATGACAGTGTGAATGTGCCTGGTGTCCTGAACTATAGATACTTAAACACTGTGACAGTGGTAAACGTTATGTCTGTTCTGTGTGCTAAGTCACTTCAGTTGTGTCCGACTCTTTGCAACCCCATGGACTGTAGCCCACCAGGCTCCTCTGTCCATGAGATTCTCCAGGCAAGAATACTGGAGTGGGTTGCCATTCCCTCTTCCAGGGGATCTTCCCGACCCAGGGATCAAACCTGTGTTTCTTACATCTCTCGCATTGGCAGGTGGGTTCTTTACCAGTAGCGCCACCTAGAAAGCCCTCTGTCTGTTTTACCACAATTTAAAAAGCTAACACAATAAGCAGGAGATAGATCATTTGCCTGTGGTCTGTCCTTGGCTCGCTGCCGCTTTTGAGTGGGTTAAGACGTGGTTGACCACACGGCATGTCCTCGGGCTTCAGGATGTCACGTCCATCCAGGCGAGGATGGTGCCAGGGTCTCTCCCAGTGTCAGGACTCCCTCTTCAGCATCTGGCCCTGCCTTCTCCCTCCTCCCTCTTCCTGCCCTCACAGTCTCTCCAGGGTCAGGCTGTCCCATGCCCTGTCTGCCCTCTGTTTGCCTGTTCACAAATCTTTCATCTCAAGGAAGGACGAGTTCTGCTCCCCATGCCTGCACCCTGCTCCAGGAGGGCCCAGAGGGTATACAGATGCACACAGAACCCTGGGAGGATATGGGTGGCAACTGTCAGAGTCCCCAGTAGCCAGCGACCTGACTCACTCCCCTGTTTCCTGAATCAGATTCCAGCTTCTGCATCTGGTGTTGTTAGGATGGGAGGGTGTCCTCGACTGGTGTCCCCTTCTCCCCTGCACCTTACCCAGACCTTTATTGTCTATACTGGGCTGCAGATGAGTTCCCAAAACAGATGTGGCATTGCCTGTTGCTGCCCCCGGGGCAGTTTGTCTGGTTAGCACCATGGGAGCCATCTGTTCTTCCCTGAAATTGCTCAACAGGAATGACCCTCTGAGCCCTGCTCAGGGTGGAGCTGGACGGGAGCAGCATCACCGGCCTGCATGGTCTAGGTACTGGCCTTTGCAGTGAGGCTGAGCTGCTCTAGGGCCAGGTGCTGCCCTGAGTGGCATCCAGGGCTACCCTGACACGGGCCTACTTCGGGTCTATGCATGCGTGCTTAGTTGTGTCTGTCTCTTTGTGACCCCGTGGACTTTGCAACCCCATGGACTATAGCTCACCAGACTCCTCTGTCGATGGAATTTTCCAGGCAAGAATACTGGAGTGGGTTGCCATTTCCTCCTCCAGGGGATCTTCCCAAACCAGGGATTGAACCTGCGTCTCCTGTGCATTGACAGGCGGATTCTTTACCACCTTTCTACCTGAGAAGCCCGGTGCTTAGAGTTGGCAGCTCTGAAATTAATCCCTCCCCTTGCCAGCACATTGGATTCAGCTCTTAGTTTCTCCATGTCCCGAGTGAAAATTGATTTGAACACCTGGAGTTAAAAGACCCAAAGTTGTGATAGATCTCCCAGGGATGGTGGCCGCTTATAAGCAAACATGTGGCTTAAACATTGCTGTAAGTTAAAGCTGCATTATTGTTAAATAATAGCTTAGCTTGCTCTAGGAGGAGCCCTTTGACAGACATAACAATTAACTTTGGTGAAAAAGTGAGCAGTTAACTGTAGGAGGAGAAATAAGAGTGCGTCTGTGCAAAACAGGGCAGAAATAATGAGGTTCATGATGGTTGAAAAATGCTTGAATTAGAAAATGAACCAAGAGTCATAATTGCAGAAGACCATGTATAGAGCACTTACTGCCTGCCAGGTACTTTGCTGGCTCTTTATATATGAAGAGCTGTGCCTGACTCTGTGTATGTGTATGGGTGCGTGTATTGTTGTTGTTGTTTAGTCACTCAGTGGTGTCCAGCTCTTTGTGACCCTACAGACTGTAGCCCACTGGGCTCCTCTGTCCATGGGATTCTCCAGGCAAGAATACTGGAGTGGCTTACCATTTCCTTCTCTAGGGGATCTTCCTGACCCAGGGTTTGAACCCAGATCTCCTGCGTTGGCAGGTGGATGCTTCACCACTGAGCCTCCAGGAAAGTTCATGTGTGGTGTGTGTGGTATGTGTGTGTGTGTGTGTGTGCGCTATGTATGTGTGATATGTGTGTATGTATGGTGTATGTATGGTATGTGTGTGCAGTGTATGTGTGGTGTGTGCAATGTATGTGTGTGTGGTGTGTGCAATGTATGTGTGTGTGGTGTGTGTGTGTGAGTGCGTGTGTGTAAGTGGTGTGTGTGTGTGTGTGGTGTGTGTATGTATGCATGTATGTATGTGTGTATAGTGAGGGGAGAGGGGAGAGGGAATGTCTTGGAACAAATCTCAAAGGTAGTGGTTCCTGTTCTCACAAGGAGACTAAGACTTAGAGAGGGTCTGAAGCCCAGATTCCCCAGCAGGTAAGGCTGAGTCAAGGTGCGTCCCAGGCCCAGGGAGGGATTCAAGGAGCCTTGGAGAGGAGCCAGGGTGAGAATTCCAGCTCCTAATACAGCCAGGATTTCCTGAACAGCAACTGTATTCAAGGCACTAAACTAGGCAGACACCATATAGACTATAACTGGCTAACCTTCACAGCTGTTATGGTGTTCACTGTTCTGTGCTTAAAAACAACTGAAACACCCTGGAGCAAGCTTGAGCAAGCAAGGAGGTTCTTTATTTCAAGGACAAGTGGTGTCTCTGGAAACTGAAAAGCAGGATGCAGCCAGACTGCTGGGTTTTCTGGATATGAGGGTGAATGGTACAGTCAAGCAAGATTCTCTCTGTAGACACCTGCTCAATCTTCTTGTGGAAAGACGTGGAAATGGCTGCTCAGCATCTCCATGTCCCTTTAGGTCTCTGCCTGGTCCTGTCCTTTGCACTGGATAGATGCAGTGTCTGTGAGCAGGAAGAGGGGCAGTGGAAGGTCATGGTGAATTGGGTGGATGTTAGTCCTGCTTAAACAAGTTCTTGAGGTATATAGTTTTATCCCCACTGTACATGTAAAGAGCTGAGATTTGCAGGAGGGGAATCTTGCTCAGGATCACAGAATCTTGGGCAGTGAAGGGAATGGGCAAGGTTTGGACGAGCCCTGTCTGGCTGAAACCAGGCTCATCACCATGACATCTGACTGCTGCAGAGGACAGTCTGTCTTAAATCCACTGTCTCATCAGGAGCTGGAAGAGAAACTAGGATGGTTCAGCCTGAGGAGGGCAGCCTGAGAGTCTGTGTAGCATTTGCTCCATCTTCAGTGACAAGGCTCTGCTCAGGGGTCGTGACCAGCCAGCTGTTTCCAGCAGCCAGTGGAATTTAGGAGGAGAGGCAGGTCTCCTGAGTACAGTGTCCTAATGCTCCAGGGTTGTGAGACACGAGACAGGTTGGGGCTGGGATGACGGGAAAAGGTGCAGGAGCAGCCTGCCGCGTCCCCTTCGGCTCTCAAGCTGAAATCCACCCTGATAGACTGCTGCTGGCCGAGAGCCCGGACACCCTGGGACTCTGGTGTTCTCAGCTGACCTTTCCACAGTCCCCAAGCAGATGGGGCTGTGTGTTTGCCTTGGCTCCTTGCTGCACTTGGGAGCGGACGTTCATTCTTAGATGTCTCAGTGTACCCGGGGGGGGGGGGGGGGCGGGCAGAGAGCATGGGGTTTGTTTATAAACGAGTGTTTGGTATAGACTTAGACTTGACTTGACACTGAACTGAGCTGCTTCAGGGATGCTTAACCCAAAATGAACATGAATTCTTGTCTAAAATAACTTGGCCATGGTAATACAAACTTTAAATGATATGAACTCACTGCAAGATCTGGGGAGCATGTACTTCATCGGAAATACCACCTAGTGTTTACCCAGAAAGGGGTCTCTGAGTTGACATTCACAGACCTTGAATCTGTGGCAGAGTTGTGAGTGGGGGAGCATCACGGAGGGTATTCTCGTTCTGGGGGCAGGATGGGTCTCTCAGAGGAGGGGGAGGTGTTCTGAGAGGCAAGGTTTGGTAAGACCATACTGATTGGTGGTATCCTGCTTCTTGTTTTGCAGATTGGAAACCTGGAAGATTACTACCACTTTTATCACAGCAAAACCTTTAAGAGATCAACCTTAAGTAGCAGAGGCCCTCACACCTTCCTCAGGATGGACCCCCAGGTACAGCTCTGCTCCCTGGGCAGGGTGCTGTCTTAGGGCGTAGAGTGTTTTGTGTGGGTTGTTTGTGTCTCTGGTTCTGAAAATGCCCAAGTCTGGATTTTAATGAGATTCTCCATGACCCTAGGTTTTCCTCTCTGAACAAAACAAAACAGATGTGCAGCTACATATCAGAGTATTTAAAAACTCAAAATATTTGGGTCCTTTGTGAGACTTGAGAATTTAAATTCTTGACTTCAGTTTGAAGCAGCAATCAAATGACTATAGGGCTATCATTTTAAATCTTTAAAAGTCAACAAAATACACAGTAATTAGCGGAGATAAATGTGTGCATCTTACCCATAAAGGCTATCCAATTCAAATCATCGTTTTAATAATGAAATTAGAGTTTGGACAGGCAGGTGTTTTTGTGGTTGTCATAACACATATCTTAATGGTTACCATGAACTTGAAAACTTAGGCAGTGAATGTAGCTTTTTCCTTAAAAGTCCCTGTGATCTCTGAGATGAAAACAGATGTAATTTGAAAAGAGGCTAATAACGTTTTTAGTATAATTCTTTTTTATCAGTGGTTAATCATAGATTCTACATAGATTTGAGATTAATATTTGACTCATGGGTCAGCAGATACTTGGTAAGATTAAAGATGTAAGATGCCCAGAGGGATCGGGTAGAGAGGGAGGTGGGAGGGGGGATCAGGATGGGGAATACATGTAAATCCATGGCTGATTCATGTCAATGTATGACAAAAACCACTACAATATTGTAAAGTAATATAGCCTCCAACTAATAAAAATAAATGAAAAAAAAAAAAGATGTAAGTGAGCCTTTAATGGCCTCATTCATTCACCAGGTGATTTTGGAATACCTGCTGTGTGTCCCGCTATGTTCATAACAGGGTCATTGGAGTGGACAGTGGGATTGACAGTCCACAGAAAGACACATGATATTTCACAGGGCATTGAGAGCTACAAGGGATGGTGAAGTGCCAGTGACAAGCAGTTACGGCCCCAATAAACAAATGAGGCCATTGGTAAATTGTAGTTTTAGAACATGGAAATCACCCTTTCCTAAAAGCAGTGTGCAGAATGTTCATTTAGACTCCCAAGCAGGCATGGGGTGTTCCTGCAGTGATCCCCAGAGAACATGGATAGTAAAGTTTCTGCAGAGAAACTGGCCGTGGTGGTGTCCCAAGCATCACCCCCAGCCTCACCCCCCACCACCACCCCGCCACCATCGTGGCTCCTCTTGTGTTGACGGGAGAGATGGTTTGTCCTGGGAATGCTTCTCCGGTTACAACTTTGTGATTTCTGGTTTCAAGAGCATGGAGAACAATGTTCATTGCAGCACTGTTTATAATAGCCAGGACATGGAAGCAACCTAGATGCCCATCAGCACATGAATGGATAAGGAAGCTGTGGTACATATACACCATGGAATATTACTCAGCCGTTAAAAAGAATTCATTTGAATCAGTTCTAATGAGATGGATGAAACTGGAACCCATTATACAGAGTGAAGTAAGCCAGAAAGATAAAGAACATCACAGCATACTAACACATATATATGGAATTTAGAAAGATGGTAATGATAACCCTATATGCAAAACAGAAAAAGAGACACAGATGTACAGAACAGACTTTTGGACTCTGTGGGGGAAGGCAAGGGTGGGATGTTTTGAGAGAACAGCATGTATATTATCTATAGTGAAATAGATCACCAGCCCTGGTTGGATGCATGAGACAAGTGCTCGGGCCTGGTGCACTGGGAAGACCCAGAGGAATCGGGTGGAGAGGGAGGTGGGAGGGGGGATCGGGATGGGGAATACATGTAACTCCATGGCTGATTCATGTCAATGTATGACAAAACCCACTGCAATGTTGTGAAGTACTTAGACTCCAACTAATAAAAATAAATGAAAAAAAAAAAAAAAGAGCATGGGGAAGTCATCCCAGTGCATGAGCCAGCCCATCCATTATCTGGGCTCTGATAAGATGGACACACAGTGTATGGTTCTGAGTTCACTTTATGGGTGGGTACGAGGATGGTTGCATGGATGGTGGATGGGTGGACAAACAGAAGGAGATAGAATCAAACACAGTGCTAATCCCATTCTTCCCTCACAGCTAAGAGGAAGTTTGTGTTTATGAAGGGCACCTTATGTGCCTCCTCCCACCAGGCTGTGTGGGGCTGTGGTTAGACCTGTGTATGTTTACAACACGGAGCTGGAAGGACACTTTTCACAGGGGCTGGTGCATTTTTTTTCCTCTCAGAAGCAAAGCCAGGTGGTAGTGGCTAAGTCTCACAGGATGGACCATTGGAGAAGAGTGAGCAGACCCCATGCCCTTATCACCATAGGGCTGAGTGCAGAGCGCATGGCCATCACAAAGACACATGGGGGTCCTTGCAGCTGGTGGTAGGGGCAGTGCTGAGGTTCACAGGGACTCCTCACCTGTCTAAGCTCAGAAGGGAGTTGCTGCTGTGCCCTCCACAGATTTCTTAAGCATGCAGAGGTCTGTCTTATGAGGACAGCATGCTTGTTTGGAGTTACTGTTCCCACAGGGAGAGTCACAGTGAAGGGCATGCTGTTTGTATGGGGGACCACCACCCCATCCCCAGAGATGTGCATGTGAACAGGATGGGATGGTGGGATTCTTTGTCTTTTATTTATTTACTTATTTGTCTACATGTCTTTTATTTAACTAATTAATGTGTTTATTTGGCTGCATCTGGCGTTAATTGCAACACACAGACTCTCTAGTTGTGGTGAGTGGGCTCAGTAGTTGCAGTGTCTGTGCTCTCCAGTTATGGCACTCAGGCTCTGGAGCATGTGGAATCTTAGTTCCCCAATATGGGGTGGAAACCTTGTCTCTGGTATTGCAAGGCAGATTCTTGCAGGGCTGTCCTTGGATGGGAGGTTTCTTGATCCCCTTTCTCCTACCCAATAGGAGGCTAGGCCTCCCTCCCAGCAATAGAAATGGATCAGAGACCAGACAAGAGATTCAGGGGAGACTTTATTGGGGCCCCTGCTGCAGCAGAGAGAGCAGGAACAAACAACAGGCTCCCTTGCTTGCTTACTTCCCGAGGTGGGTGGAGTTGGGGGAGCTGGTTCCTTATATGGGGTGAGGGTCAGGGTGTGTTCAGGGTCAGGCTGGAGGGGTGGTTTAGGTGGTCCACCCGCCCCTTTGGTGGTGTTGAGTGCAGGGGGCATATGCAGTCCCCTGCTTCTGTTCCAGGCTCTTCAGAAGTGACAGCTGGGTTTTTGGTCTTTTTGTATCTTGTCCGGAATTTCCCCCAACTGTGCATGTATGCAGTTATTTTTAGTCCCATACACTTTCTCTGTATCTTGTTGCTGGAGGAGAGTTTTGTGCAGGTACAAGCACTGCAGTGAAGGGCCCCAGGCCCCTGCGTGTCTCATTTCCGAGGAATTTTGGAGAACTAAGTGACTTCTACCGCACAATTGCACTCATCTCACACGCTAGTAAAGTAATGCTCAAAATTCTCCAAGCCAGGCTTCAGCAATACGTGAACCATGAATTTCCAGAAGTTCAAGCTGGTTTTAGAAAAGGCAGAGGAACCAGAGATCAAATTGCCAATATCCGCTGGATCATCAAAAAAGCAAGAGAGTTCCAGAAGAACATCTATTTCTGCTTTGTTGACTACACCAAAGCCTTCGACTATGTGGATCACAATAAACTGTGGAAAATTCTGAAAGAGATGGGAATACCAGACCACCTGACCTGCCTCTTGAGAAACCTATATGCAGGTCAGGAAGCAACAGTTAGAACTGGACATGGAACAACAGACTGGTTCCAAATAGGAAAAGGAATACATCAAAGCTGTATATTGTCACCCTGCTTATTTAACTTATATGCAGAGTACATCATGAGAAACGCTGGGCTGGAAGAAGCACAAACTGGAATCAAGATTGCCGGGAGAAATATCAATAACCTCAGATATGCAGATGACACCACCTTTATGGCAGAAAGTGAAGAGGAACTAAAAAGCCTCTTGATGAAAGTGAAAGAGGAGAGTGAAAAAGTTGGCTTAAAGCTCAACATTCAGAAAACTAAGATCATGGCATCTGGTCCCATCACCTCATGGGAAATAGATGGGGAGACAGTGGAAACAGTGTCAGACTTTATTTTTTTGGACTCCAGAATCACTGCAGATGGTGACTGCAGCCATGAAATTAAAAGACGCTTACTCCTTGGAAGGAAAGTTATGAGCAACCTAGATAGCATATTAAAAAGCAGAGACATTACTTTGCCAACAAAGGTCCATCTGGTCAAGGCTATAGTTTTTCCAGTGGTCATATATGGATGTGAGAATTGGACTGTGAAGAAAGCTGAGCACCGAAAAATTGATGCTTTTGAACTGTGGTGTTGGAGAAGACTCTTGAGTCCCTTGGACTGCAAGGAGATCCAACCAGTCCATCCTAAAGGAGATCAGTCCTGGGTGTTCATTGGAGGGACTGATGCTGAAGCTGAAACTCCAGTACTTTGGCCACCTCATGCGAAGAGTTGACTCACTGGAAAAGACCCTGATGCTGGGAGGTATTGGGGGCAGGAGGAGAAGTGGATGACAGAGGATGAGATGGCTGGATGGCATCACCAACTCGATGGGCATGAGTTTGAATATACTCCGGGAGTTGGTGATGGACAGGGAGGCCTGGCGTGCTTCGATTCATGGGGTCAAAAGAGTTGGACACGACTGAGCGACTGAACTGAACTGAAGTGGGTTCTCAATTGTTAAAACTATGGCGGAGGTGAAATTGGAGATGTAACCTGTGTTTTGGGGTGGGGATGGGTGGGTAGGGGGATTCACTCTTTTCTAGTGTCTAAATTGTAAGCCTTTTAAAGGCATTCAACTCAACTGCTCCACCCTTCCTTTCAAAATTACTAACTGCGCACCTGCTGAGTGTGACCCTGTGTCCAGGAGCACGGAGATGCCCACCAGGTGGGCCTCTGGCCCGTGGTCCCAGCAGGGCCGGACATGGGGGCC